ATTTTTTTTTTTTTGGATTTGGCATTTTCATAGCTCGTTTTCTCATTCAAAATGCTCATAAAGACAGGGTGATGGATCTTCTATACATGAGATTTAATGTATTTTTGATTTCTAACCTGCCTGCAACAGACGCGCACACACACACACACAGTAGTGAACACACACAGTAGTGAACACACAGAGTCGTGCACACACACACACAGTAGTGGACACACACAGTAGTGTGTGCGCACACACACAGTAGTGTGCGCGCACACAGTAGTGAACACACACAGTCTTGCATGACTGTGTGTGTTCACTACTGTGTGTTCAAGATGAATTGAAAATTGCAGGCAGGTTAGAAATCAAAAATACATTAAATCTCATGTATAGAAGATCCATCACCCTGTCTTTATGAGCATTTTGAATGAGAAAACGAGCTATGAAAATGCCAAATCTAAAAAAAAAAAAATCCCTAGTTCACAAAAAAGTCTTTATGCTCACTTGAGGTGGTTTTTGACTTGTGTGAAAAAAGGTTAATGCGAATAATGGGAGATGGAAACACATTTACCAAATAAATTCCTCCATGCAGATCAAAAACATCACGGCCTGGTTTCACAGACGGGGCTTAGCTTAAACCAGGAGTCAGGACTAGGCCATAGTTCAATTAGGATTTAAAAGTAATTTTTATAAACATGCCTTAGAAAAAAACATTACTGTGTGCATCTTGAGACAAAACAAGGGTACTGACATATTTCAAGATCAATCAGTGCAAGTTTCCTTCAGTTGAAACAGCTCAGACTTACAGTTTAGTCGAGGACTAGGCTTAAACCATGTCTGTGAACCCGGGGGTATGTGTCTTTGTGCAATGGGACCACAAATATTTCATTGCACATTATCTGAAATGTTGTTCTGGTCAATCTGAAATGCCCGAGCAAAGTCTGTCGTAAACGTATTTCTGTATGATTGCCAGAAGCGTCTTACAAACAGCTTTCCCAAACAGCAGACATCCCTTTTCCAAAGCAATGACCGCATTTATTGTGTTTCGTCTGCTCACTCCGAGGCGCAAGTACATTTATTATATATATGAAAATTATTTCATTCAGTGGCTTCTCCTACTTTTCTTAGTGATATTTGATGGCAGTTTATCAGGAAGTGATAAATAGGATAAATAGGTGGTGCTCGAGACATCGGTCATTCGTTGTTTCTGTAAAAAGACTAACAATACTACTACTACTACTAATAATAATAATAATAAAACATTAAAATGTAAAATATTTTCATCAAACAAAACTTCATAATTCTTTCATTTTAAACTCTCAGTCAGAGTCTTCTAGTGTGTAGGCCGTATCGTTTTGGAGGATTCTTGAGAGGCAGCCTTCATTGCGGTCCTTCACTCTGAACATTTTGAAGGATGCATCAAGTGGAGCCCACCTTTGGGTCCTTCAGTAATCCACAATTCTTTGCTCACATTCAAATCCACGGGGAAAATGGCAGAAAACAAGCAGGAATTGAACTTTCTGGAGTTAGGACAAAAGAGAGATTGTTCTGAGATTGAAGGCACTAAGGTTTCTTTTGGTTTTTTGTAAACCGTCTCATTAATATGCACCAAGCTTTGGTGTAGGAAACCGTAAGGTGAAGACCGGGAGGTATCTCTTCAGCTGGACGCTTTATTGAGAGCGTGCTGTTTGATGGGGTTTAATAGGCGTTCAGTGGACAGTACCTATCTTATAAGTAAACACCATCACCAGAAGATCTGAGACCCATCCGGTCCTGAGAACAAGAGACAGGTCAACATTCTTGCACAGTTTGATTATTATCAAGAATGAACGAAGCAGGCATTATGTATCTTTTTTCATCCTGAATTTTGTGATATGATAAGGGAATGAGCCATTTTAGTGCAGTCCCACACTGACCTGCCAGCCGCTGATAAACACAGCAGGAGCCCCTGTATTCACCTGATATCGCAGCGGGCCCTTTACAATCCCATGAGCCACACATCACCGTCCGGATTTCACTCATAAACAGTCATGTACGTTCTTCATCAGAATATCTTGCATATATGTTCCACAGAAGACTCATACAGGTCTGCGTTGATATGAGGGCGAGTAAGTGATGACCGATTGATTGTTTTTTTGTGTGATGAAAGAAAACTAGTGATCATACTCAAACATCGTGGTATGATTGGAACATGAAAACATGAGAATATTACATGTACATCTAGTCGTTTAGCAGATGCTTTTATCCAAAGCGACTTACATGAGGACTATAGAAGCAATCAAAACTAACAAAAGAGCAATGCTATAACAGGTCTCTGTTAGCTTAACGCAGCACACGTAGCAAGGTTTTTAAAAATTATATAATAAATAAAAAGAAAACAGATAGAATATAAAAAGAATAGAGCAAGCTAGTGTTAGAGGCATTTTTTATTAATGGTATAATAATAAAAAAATATATATAGAATAGAATTAAAAAAAGAATAGAGAAGCTGTTAGTTTTTTTAAAGAAAAGAAGCCGCTAGTAGCTAAATGAATAGAGTGCAGAACTAAAGGGGCAAGTTACATAAATATATATATATATTAGTGCTGTCAAATGATTAATCGCATCCAAAATAAAGTTTTTGTTCACATAATATATGTGTGTGTGTGCTGTGTATATTTATTATGTATATATAAACACACACATGCATGTATATATTTAAAAAAATATGTTATGTTTATACATTTAAAATATTTATATATGATATCAATTATATGAATATAAATATATACATGGAAATATTTTCTAAATATATACTGTATGTGTGTGTTTATATATGCATAATAAATATACACACACACACATATATATAATGTGAACAAAAACTTTATTTTGTATGCGATTAATCGTTTGACAGCACTAATATATATATATATTTAGTTTAGAGTAGTTTGAGCTCTTCCGAGTTGATGGGAGGAGATATTTGGGGCTTTTTTCAAATCCACAAACAATCCAAATCAACCAATGAGCGACTTCACTCGACAGAACCGCGAGCGGGGTTTTGTGGGTTTTGTAGTTGTCCTATGCGGTCTTGACAGGAACCGCGTACGAGGAAGAATCTCGCAAAAACTACAAGTACCGGCTTCGCCTGAGAGCCTCCGCGCATGCGCAGAGAAGCGGCTTCGTCGAATGTTTTGTTTCCACGCCATATTTGTTAGCCGGCTAGCGCTCGCTGAAGCGGCGTCCGACGCGATCTCGGCTCAATCCGAACCCATCGGCGCTTCCCCGAGGAGCCTGGACGCCACAGCCGCGTTCCTCGCCGCACACACGCCTCCACGCGTCCTCACACAAGGGTGTGGCCGCGAGCGCAACGCAGAGTTTAAATAAAAACGCAGCGATCGAGTCGCGTTCCCTCGAGATCAGACCAGCGGGGCTCTGTCGCTGCTCGAGCGGATCACTAGCTTTCAGAACATCCTTTTCCATCAAACACAACCCTCGACAGAATGGCGTGCGGAGCCACTCTGAAAAGGACAATGGATTTCGACCCTCTGCTGAGCCCGGCGTCCCCGAAGAGGAGGAGGTGTGCGCCCATGTCCCCGTCCCCGTCCCCGCAGAAGTACCTGCGCATGGAGCCCTCGCCCTTCGGCCGGCTGTCCTCGGCGCTCACCGCAGGTCCGTGCCGCTCTGGTGCTCGGGGTGTACCGTGTCGAAATGGAAAGGTTATCTTCAAATTGTAGCGAACTGGGGATGCTGCTAAATGCTAACTCGCTGTGATCTCTACAGAGAGCCGGAAATGTAGACGCCACTGTGGCACGGTTAAACCGTTGTTACACGGTTATCGTCGGTGTGGTAGCGGTATTGTTTGTGAGCAGCACATAGCGCAAAGGACGGCTTCCGGAAGTAAAAGCACCGTTGGGTGTCTCCGGCTAGAGATCACGTTACTTCTAAACCGTGTAGGACAGATGTGTTGCGAGATAGAGGCCTTCATGTGTAGTGTTCGTGTTTGATAGGTTAAAGCTCACGGTTCTGTAAGGATTCTCCAATCACAGAGCAGCTTGTACTCAGCAAACCACGCCCCCAGAGCGCTGTAGCTCCGCCCACTGGCGTGCTGTGCTCGTGCTGAGCAGAGGCGTGCATGACTCCAGCAGCAGACCCAAACGAGCTCAAGCATCTTAAACTGTTTTCAGACCCGCTGTCCTTCTAGTAGACACACCGACATCACGCTCAGTGCAGCAGGAGCACACGCCTGGGCACACAATAGCTTTTTCTTAATATTAAACAGTGGTGTATTGTATGCAGACATGTACATCACGCTCAGTGCAGTTTTTAAATGAACTTCCTAATTATAAAATGACTATTCGTTGTTGAAATATATTCATTTGCACGGTAGCTGTCATATTTAAACACATTCAGTAGAGACAGCACTAAAAGCTCACGGTTCTGTAAGGATTCTCCAATCACAGAGCAGCTTGTACTCAGCAAACCACGCCCCCAGAGCGCTGTAGCTCCGCCCACTGGCGTGCTGTGCTCGTGCTGAGCAGAGGCGTGCATGACTCCAGCAGCAGACCCAAACGAGCTCAAGCATCTTAAACTGTTTTCAGACCCGCTGTCCTTCTAGTAGACACACCGACATCACGCTCAGTGCAGCAGGAGCACACGCCTGGACACACAATAGCTTTTTCTTAATATTAAACAGTGGTGTATTGTATGCAGACATGTACATCACGCTCAGTGCAGTTTTTAAATGAACTTCCTAATTTTAAAATGACTATTCGTTGTTGAAATATATTCATTTGCACGGTAGCTGTCATATTTAAACACATTCAGTAGAGACAGCACTAGCCGGTGAGATGTTCGGCAGAATAAGCCTGTTTTATGTGTCTTGACACTTTATGGTTTCAGTCTTGCGCTCATCTTTTCTTCTGGTTATCAGTGTTTTAGTGGGAGCTGAGTAGGGCTGGACGACATGGCCGGTATGAGCACGGTTTAGAAAGCCTCGTAGGAACGGCCACAACAGATGTCTGAGCATGCAGACTTATGAAACATGTATTTGCCAGGTCTATGACACCTCATATAAAACCATATAATACTTTAGAAGAAGAAAAAACAGCACACATAAATGAATGTTCACCTTTTATGTGCATTCAGCCTTCATACAAACAAGAAATGTGAAGTCACTGTCAAATAAATCTCAGACTCTGCTTATTAATATTAATATCTGTAGCTTCAGACTATATGCTGGCATACACGAGCACTCAAAGCTTTCAACAGCCAGATTTGAGTGTTTGTACAGAAGCCTCTTCTGCTCTCAGAGCCTGCGTTTAGTTGATCAGAAACACAGCAAAAGCAGTAACATCGTGGCATATTTCTACTGTCTAATATAACTGTGTTCTGTGTGAATCTCTGTTAGACTGTAATGTATTCCTGTGATTTCAAACCTGTATTTTCAGCATCATGACTGCAGTCACACGATCTTCAGAAATCAGTATAATATGCTGCTCTGCTGCTCCAGACACACGTTTGTGATGATGGTGAACACAGCCGAGGAGAGTTTTCAGGATTCACAGATGAACAGAAAGTTCAGAAGAACAGCATTGATCTGAAATAGAAATCTTTTCTAACATTATACATGCCTTTATCATCATTTGAAGCATCCTTTCTAAATAAAATTATTAATTTCTATAATTTTATTCCAAAACACAAATGATACTGACTGCAAGCTTCTGAAAGGAATAGTGTATAATGTTACAAACGCTTTGTATTTCAGGTAAATGCTGATCTTTGGATCTTTCTGTTCATCAAAGAATCCTGAAAAAAAAATTTACTCGACTTTTTAAAATATTGATAAGCAGCAGATCAGCATATTATACTGATTTCTGAAGATCATGTGACACTGAAGACTGGAGGAATGATGCTGAAAATACAGCTGCGCATCACAGAAATACATTACAGTTTAACTGATACTCACAGAGAAAACAGCTGCTTTACATTCTAATAATATTTCACGATGTTACTGCTTTTGCTGTGTTTCTGATCAACTAAACGCAGGCTCTGAGAGCAGAAGAGGCTTCTGTACAAACACTCAAATCTGGCTGTTGAAAGCTTTGAGTGCTCGTGTATGCTGATTATTGTTCTAGATTGACACAAAAGTGCTTCAGCAGGATAGCGAGTATGAGAAGTGCTCGGAGTTGCTGCAGAAAACAAAGACATGTTGCTGGAGAGTAGGGGTGTGAGAAAGAATAGATCCACCGATGTGAGCTTCGCTTCTAACCAGATGATGACGCTGAGTTTGCTTTAGAAACACCTGTATAAGCGCGAGACGCGCGCGGTGATATTAGCGTCTGCCGTCTCACTAATATGAGGACATAAATACACAACAACACCTCCAAAACTGCTCTGAGAGTCACTTCATCAGCATTTGACCGTTTCATTTGAGTAAAACTAGGTATTCACGGCAACCCGTCAAAATAAAATGTCTGTTTAACTTGAAGGCATCTCCAGCACGGGCTTTCAGATGGAGCAGCATTCACTGCACTCAGCTGATGTTCACTCGGTGTGCTCTGTGTGACGGCCGGAGTTCTGCTTCACTTTCAACTCGTGATTTCAAACTATGCTGCGCTTTACCCGCTGCCATATTCATGTGATTTCCAAAATCAGTGTTACCTTTATTTGAACAAATCTGCTTCCAAATGCACACTAAATGAAGCCTCGAGGTAAATAATTTGTCTCAATGATTTTTTGTATTCGAGTAACTCGAGGAATCGTTTCAGCCCTAGTTGTAAAAAATCAATGTCACATTGGTAATCATGGTCATTTTTGGAGAAAAAACGTCACCACTTCTATATGAAGTGGTATAAATATATACATTTTCTGCCCCCATGTCTTGAAATTGAGCTCATTCTGAATGTATTTTAAGAGACTGAATCAAGCAGTGAAAGAAAACACACTGAATGCACCTCATGTAATGTAAGCGTGCACCCTGTAGGTGTGTTTTCAATGTTTTTGCAAAATACTCGATAATGTCAAATCACACACCATTCAAACAACAATTATGATATTATCACAGACGATATATATCGCACATCCCTACCAAAAGCACAATATGACTTAATCCTTTTATCAAGTCTGTTTTTGCAGCACGTTTCAAAGCGAAGCACACACTGGTTGATGCGATCAGGTCGTGATCCGGTGTTGGCTCGGTTCACAGTGAGTGCGCTGAACTCTTTTATTGCATGTGCTGTGAGTTTAGTGCGCCTTTGGGAACGCAACAGCCACCTGTATGCTTTCACATTTGCATAATTTCCAACATTTTAATGGGCAGATAATTACAGCATTTCACTAAATTTGCAATGAGACACGTTTGTAAACCCGTTTTCACTGAAGGTGGAGGTTTCCGTCCAAATAAAAGCTCGAGGGTTTGTCTCATGCAGGTGTAGAAATCAGGATAAGTATTGTAATTTCCCTGCTGTAGTGTAAAGCAAAAATAATATACTTATGAAATATTCGTTTTCATTTGTTGCAATATAATTGTTTTACAATATAGGGCTATTACTGTCATAGGAATAGTAATAAATAATATAAAATAATTATTGTTATTACAGTCTAATGGCTTGGCTTCCTAAAAGACTAAGACACTGTCTCACAACTAAAAAGAGGGTTAAAAAGGTTAAAGTTAAGGTACTATTCAGTCAATTCCTTGACTTTTTTCTTTGTTCAATTTGCACTCTGAACATTAGTTAGAAGGTAGAGCTCTTAATGTTGAGCTCTCAAAGTGCACCAGATGAATTTAGCTTTAAAATGTACAAAAGTCATCCAGAGGTTCACCCATCACAGTCTCACAGAATCCTGGGGGAAACCCTGCAGTATGTACTGCATTCCCGATGTCTTCTGAGCGTTTAGAGAGGTTTATACTGTGCCGTAAACCACGCGATTGCAAAACTTCATGTACTGGGAAGTGTGTGTACTTATTGAATGTTTGTGTGTAATTGACTGTTTGCAAAGACCCGCCCTCCTTAGTTACTGTTGCTATGTCTGACAAGCCATGCTCTCACACCACACCCATGTTCTCAAGCTGTAAAAATACATCGCAGAGCAAACTGACAACACACCGACAGACAAGACAGAGCAGGTTACTTCTGATATGAAACAAGGACTCGGCTTTAAAATGTTGTCTTTTTAAAAAAAAAATTTTTTTAAAGGAATTCAATCAATAAACAGCCTACTGTTTTGTGGCTCTTTAATGTGTTGTGACAGATCGCTGTGTTGCCTCAGTTCAAGTGGCACCTGATCCGATCCTCTTTTCATATTAAATTAAAGGGGTCATATGATGCGATTTCAAGTTTTTCTTTCTCTTTGGAGTGTTACAAGCTGATTGTGAATAGATAAGATCCCTGAAGTTGCAAAAACTAAAGCCTCAAAACCAAAGAGATATTCTTTATAAAAGTTAAGAGTCAGCCACGCCCCCCTAAAACGGCTCGTTCTAACACGCCCCACATATCTACCTCACTATGTGGAAATATTAGCATAACGCCGCCCAAATGTGCACGCAAAGAAAGAAGGCGTAACTTTTATTCTCGCTGTAGTATTGTTGCCGTGAAGACGCTGTGTTTTTCCAAATATGGTGAGGGGCGTAACATTTCCGTCACACGCTTGAGGTATTCGGCCAATCACAACGCACTGGATAGCTGGCCAATCACAGCACACCTCGCTTTTCAGACCGATGAGCTTTGTAAAAATCGACGCGTTTCAGAAAGACGGGGCATAGAGGAGAAACAATAATGTACAGTATGTGGAAAATAATGTGTTTTTTTTTTAACCTCAAACCGAATAAACACATTTCATTACACCAAATACACCAAATATTTTTAGCAACATCATATGACCTGTTTAAAGCACAAAATAAACATGAATGAACATCAGAATACGTTTTTTCAAGTTTAAGTCCTCCGAAGTTAATCTACTCTTGTGTTATGATTGGTCAGATGGCCTGTCACTCACGGTCAGCTAGCTGCAGTGCATCGGGAGAGCTGTGGTTATCAGTGTCACGAGATGCTGTCAGGCTGCTTGATTGGTTGGTGCTGTTGATGTGTTCCAGGCGCGTCCTCTGGATCAGCGTCCCCCTCCAGACGCGAGCAGCCGCTCTTCACACTGAAGCAGGTGGGCATGATCTGTGAGCGTCTGCTGAAGGAGCGCGAGGAGAAGGTGCGCGAGGAGTACGACCAGATCCTGACCACCAAACTCGCAGGTATCTGTCCCAAACACATGTGCTGTCCTGTGGAGGCCTGCCTTTGTTTGATGGAGTGCTTTTCTTGCCTTCCCAGAACAATACGATGCGTTCGTGAAGTTCACCCACGACCAGCTGATGAGGCGGTTCGGGGAGCAGCCAGCCAGCTGTACGTATGCGCTCGTCTTGTGCTGCCCGTTAGGGATGCGCACACATCACATTTCTGTTCTTCCAATACCGGACACCGCGTTTCCTCTTTGGTGTTTTCCCCCGTGTATTTTGCCAGTTTTTTCCCCATTGCATAAATTAAAATAGCCACAATGGACTTTTTATTATTTTGTCTTGCTTCTCAAAGGAAAAAAAAATTGGTTAGAAAACAACAATTTAAAAATATTTACTTCCACTTAATATTTTTTTTAACATTCTAGCAGACATTATACCAAGAAAGCATAATTTAACTTAAAATGAATGAGTCTGGCCATTTTTGAGACCCCCATCTTGAATCAGGCTTGTGATCGGCTAAAGACAAAAAAGTGCAGTAATGATGCTGAGAATACAGCTTTGATCACAGCAATCAATTACAGTTTAACAGACAATCACGTACAAAACAGTTGTAATCATATTTGACAATATTACCGTTTTTGTACAAACAAACACAGCCTTGCCGAGCAGAAGAGAATTCTTTGTTTCGTTGCTGTTTCCGGCAGATCAGTGGTGTCTGTCTGTGCTCGTCTCTCATGAGTGCTGTTGTTCTGCAGATGTGTCCTGAGCGCTGTCCTGCGGATGGTGGAGCTCCTGTGGGTCTCCAGCAGTGCCAGACGCATCCTTCCCCGCTCCGCACTGAGCTCGTCTCTCTCTCTCTCTCTGCAGCGCCTCGGTGCCTCCTGCAACTATTACTCCAATCAGTGGCTCTCGTGTCTCTTACTGAACCCTGGATATTTATTAGGCTTCGACCATGCCTTTTACACAGCCACCTGTCATTACTTCCTGGTTTTTTATGTTTGATTTATGTAAAATGCCTTTTATTCGCTGCAAATGCCGTCGATTGCCATTATAAATGTGAGACGTGTGTGAGGGAGACTGCTGTTCATAGCTTTGTGTAAATACTTTCATCTGGAGTTTTCATGTACAAATCAAATACAGCATTTATTTCGATTGGAGTCTGTTTTCATGCTTTGTATTTATTTTAGTTTTTATTTCTTTTGCCCCTTTCCTCTGCATTATGGTTCTACCGCTCCTGTAGTTTAAGTGACTTATGTTGGGAAAGTATACAAATAAAGCGTTTACATAACTGCTGTTGTTTCTTGAACTGTTAAGGGCACTTTAGATTGGATAATTAGGGCTTCTCGTACGAGATTAACCAGTCGGTGCCTAAACTGACGAAACAGCACTGAGTGAAGGCGAGTAGATGAGCGGAAGCTGCACGCTGGAGCACAGACTCGGGGACTGCTGTCATTGGGTCCGCTGTAGTGTAGAACACTTGATGTCATCTGCCAGAGGAGGGTTTACTCTGTGTTTACTGGTTAATGTGGAAAGAGTTATCACTGGCAACTAAACCCAGTGTCTCCCGCAGGATTGTGTAAGACTGAGTTTGTAGTGGAGTCTGGGGAAGATCTGCATCAATCTGGTGCACTTTGAGAGTTCAGTATTAAGAGCTTTTTTAAGTGTGAACGGAGCAAGAAGTGTTTGCTTTGACTTCTGCCTGGACTTCAAACCAGCCTTTGGTTAATAGCGTCTCCGTCCACACAGGAACCAGTCAGTTTTAGTGTACAGATACTAATACTTTTAGAATTAATATACAAGGTATGTTTTATCTCGAAGATGGTCTTATATTATAATACAACTAAAATGTACATTAAATATTTCATAAATATAATTAAAACACATAGAGACAAAATACCCAGCAATGCAAATTACGTGACTTTTTGTCAAACTTTAGCACGTTGAAATATGTTACAATTTATAACTGAATGTGACCGTTCATCCAAAAATTGAAACTGATAAAACAGTTGATCAAAACATCACAGTAATCCACACGACTAGTGCATCAACTAACGCCTTGTAAAGCCAAAAGCTGTGTATGTGTGAGAAACAAATCCAGCATTAAGATGATTTTAAGAGTCCATAATCCATAATAACTCTTCCTCCGTTGAAAAAGTGCATCTCCTGTTGTCTCTCACATCAAAATCCAGCCACGTACTTGTTTGCTTGATCTGTGCAGATTTCTCTCCTGATTCAGACCAGAACACTTTCACTGGAGGAAGCGTTATTATGGATTATGGACTCTATGGTATTTGAGTTCAAAACGTCTTAATGCTGGATGTGTTTCAGCTTTTGTCTTCTCCAGATGTTCACTGATGGACTGGAGTGCTGTGGATTATTGTGATGTTTTTATCAGCTGTTTGGACTCATTCTGACGGCACCCATTCACTGCAGAGCATCCATTGCTGAGACACTGATGCAGTGCTACATTTCTCCAAACCTGATGACGAAACAAACTCATCCTGATCTGGGATGAACTGAGGGTGAGGACGTTTGCAAATACACATACATACAGTTCGTTTGTATTCTGGTAATTATTGGTTCATTTGTCAATTTAACTGTTTTTAAAAGTTACCGTGTTACCACAGCAGACATACTGTTCTGAGATGAGAAAATATATTGTTTGTGTTCCAAAGATATATCAAAATACTTGCATGTGAATCTGTTATAAACAATAACATACTCGCTCTTTGTTGTGTTTGTTTTAATACAGTGATTGCTTGATTCAGTGTATTTGATAGTTCAAATGTTTTCGTCACCTCCGTCAGATGAATATTTTGATCATATTTCGTTATGATGTTTTATATTTGTTGAGGAATTGTTAGTCACACGTGAAAGTCATCTGTCTGCTAACATGAGAATGTGTTTTGAAATGTTAAAAACATCTTGATTGCTGTTAAAGTTATATCACAGTCGGAGGTAAAAAGCAGGTTCTGATAAAAAAGAGAAAAGTTGGGAGGTTGCATCAAAGCACAGCTCAGTAGCTTAGTACATATAAGATCATGTAGTTTCATTTGTCTGAGCACAAGGTTTTATTTTTCACTTTTGCACCGTTTTGTCCCACTTCTCAAGAATCAGTGATGTGTTTTATCATTAGAACAGAAGAATTGAGGATCTTAATGTAAAAATGCTGTTAATGAAGCAGTGCTGTCCTCATCAGATTATAATGTTATATACAATATTTATAATAAAATTATAAAAAAGGGAAAACGATAGCAATCCATCTTAACAGAGATGACACGATGAGAATATCACAAAATATTCTCTCACTAAGATTAGCAAAAATAAAAATGATACACTTTTTTTTCATTTTTATTTGTATTGAAAACATCATGGGCATTACAAAGTCAAGACACTACCGTTTCCATACGTTCTTTGCAGTACAGTATTACACTTATCCTCAGTGATATGTGTACACAATCCATTTATCCCAATACTTCGTCTAACCGTAAGTGTATAGATCTCTCCATACAGTATATTTGGTTTACAATTCCCATCCACTGGTCCACCAACATGTTTCCTACAGTACTTCATGCCAGTGCTGTTGTATTTGGAAATTGTTAGGCATTGAGGTTCCACATTGCCTCCAGACTCTTCACCTGTGCGTATTGCTGTTAATTTGGGAGTTCTACAGAGAGTCGTATTCACTCATATTCTCTTTACTGTGTGATTAGTAGAATATTTCATAACTCATCATTTCACACAATGAAGTGCGTCCACCTGAACGGACACGAGCTTTGTGGGTGTAGGAAGTGGTTAACTGGGATTAATTGTAGAACGAGTTAATGCAACTGAAAGAGATTCACTCAAAAACGAACCTTCTGTCAACATAGAAGATATAGTGAGAAAAGTCTCAGATATAATGAAAGCCATTCTTCTAAAGATCTCGTCCTGTGTTCAGGAAAGACCTTGAGATGCAGAGGCGTGTCCTGAAGCAGACTGACACATTCACACAGTTTGCTTTCAGAGTTTACTGAGTGTGCCGGTCACTCATCAACAGCTCTGGTCAGATCCAGCTTCATCATGTTTGTTCCTCCTCTCAGTCCCGACAGGTACACCTGTGCTTTGGGTACGTTACTCTCTCCGTCCCGCTTCGTCTGGCTGGCGGCGTCTTTAGGGAGGAACGTCTGTGTGCTGTTGTGTCGTCTCATGTGACTCGAGTGCGTCTGCATCGAGCGTGTGACTTTATTCTGCAGATTGGCCTGAGACAGAGAGGTTCTTACAGGGTTAAATTCTCTAATGCATGTCTGGACTGAGATCATGTGTGTGAACGCTTCTCACCAGTTTAATGGCTTTTCTTCGGAGCTCCCACCATGTTCACAAATTAATTTACAAGACATTGTCATCATGTATTCACCCTCATGTCGTTCCAAACCTGTATGAGTTTCTCTCATGTTGAACACAAAAGAAGATATTCTGAAGAATTCTGAAGAACCAAACAGTTGTTGGTACCCATTGACTTCCACAGTAGGTAAAGAAATACTATGGAAGTCATCCCAATCCAAGATGGCAGCCAAGGCAGTATGTGTATTGTTTTTATATAAGTTTTTTTTAATCTCATTTAAGTCTGAATGAGTGGTTCTCTCAAGCAAAATATCACCACTTTCAATCTGGGATCTTTGTATGCTATACTTTTATTGGATTGCCACAGAACTCTGACTTTGCAAAGGCCTTGGCCTGCCCTGAATCCACCTGCTGGAGTATAATTCCTAAAAAAGTACAAAGTATTACTTTGTGGATCCTCCAAGTGGTTCAGTGGTTGCCAGTACTCTGCTATTTGGGGGAAGACTTACATTTTAAATCTGAATTAATGATCTGATCTTGGCCGAATAGCACATGGATTATCAGAGCTGTTAGACCTTGGTTGAGGCTTGAAGATGTAATTGGATTGACAGCACATATTTCTGACTCTGATTTGCTGCAGTTTAGGACTATCAGGAATCCATCTACGTTACTGGTGTATGACTTTTACATTTTCTAAATTAAGGACTCAATTTTGCTGCTGGGTTTTTCCAGGCCCAGTACCATATTTATTGTTAAAGCGGTGAACCTTGGGTATAGCAGTGTGACTGAGTTTGTTCGGGTCTATAGATCTCCCCTTTTCAACTGTCAGTCTGAAATCCACTTGGCTACCTGATTTACCATTAAAGGGGTCATGTGATGCTGCTAAAAATAACACTTTAACACATCAGCATATAAGTTGGCATCATGTGTTTTCTTATATTCCTGATGCTCATTTTTTTGCAACCAGGGATCAAATGAATTAAATAGACACAATAAGGAGAGTGAATTGTATTCTAGAGCTATATCATCAGTCAATCACCCTGCCTCATAAACTGAACATTTTTTACTTCCAAGTGTATGTAAATGAGATTTTGTATCTTCAGAATCTTATGGTGTTAAATGGCTTTTTTATCGACACAGAGGACTCTTTTTGTCAGTTTGCCGTTGATGGGGGTCCTGATAAATCTTTTCCTGTTAACCTAAAATTACGATGTATGATATATGTATGATCTTATTGATGTTATCTGAAAATGTTCAGCCAAATCCTGGGCCTATTACATCTGTGCATTGTTTACCCACTCCCTCAGATTTTAAAAGTAGAACAGGCCTTGGGTTTATACATTTAAATGTTAGAAGTTTGGTTCCTAAATTGGATATGAATATGATTAAGATTTGGGTAAATACGACAAACGCTGACATGAAAAGTAGTGAAATCCATCACTGATGATTTAATTTATATTGATGGCTATAAAGTCTACAGAACTGATTGGGTGGGCAAAGGAGGTGGGGTGGCCATCTATGTTAAATCTAAGCTTGCTAGCTCTGTAACTTTGTCAATTACACCGTTTGAGGTTTTGGCCATCAAAGTGGGTGTTTCGAAAGTCTCTAATATCACTGTGGTTGGCTGTTACAGACCTCCGTCTGCTACAAAGGAGGCTCTCAAAGCTTTTTCAGATATTTTACATGGGTTAAATGACTCCGATTTCATCTTTACGGGTGATTTAAATTGGGACTGGCTCTCAGGGACCTCAGATTGTTTTAAAGAATTGTGTGACTCCTTAAGCCTTGCGCAACTAATTAATGCACCAACAAGGCTAAAGTGCAACATAAATCTACCTTACTGGATCTAATCATAAGGAATGCTGCTCATAAATTTAGTTCAACTGGCATATTCTGTAATGACATCAGTGATCATTGTGTAATTGCTTGTGTCCGGGATACAAAAATCCCTAAGGTAAAACCCCG